CCGAGTCCGTGTAGCGGTTAAATGAAGACGAGTCCGGGGGTCCGCTGGAAGGCGGCGCGGCCGAGATGGAGTCGGATCCTGCCGAGAGGGGAGAAGCACATGGAGGTCAGCAGACCTCACCTGCAGCAAGATGCATCATTCAGACAGTTTGTTACACCTTCTGTGGTTTACAGAGATCAAGAGTCTGGAAAGTTTTCACACCTTGGAAACATTTTCACATTATATCACCTTGATTTTATTTGACACAGGAGTATTGAAATGTGAAGTGAACTGAGTAAGATACATAAGGTAACAGATTTTTAGTTTTTGTTTTTACCAAAAACTGAATCAAGAATTCTGGTAGAGTATGTAATCTATGCATCAGGAATACCTGTGTCCTGTGATGGGAGGTAGTGCTGGAGGTCGTCCAGTCTGGCTCTCAGCTTTGCGTCCAAAGAGGAGCAGAAGTTCTGAACGCAGGGCGTCAGGGCCTGCGTTTTCATGGCCAGCCCGCTCCTCTGCTGCTGCTGCTGCTGGCCCCGCTGGGCCACACTGACCCAGGCCGCGTCGCTCAGCAGGTCCCCCGGAGACTCCGACCACAGGAAGGACGCCACGTCCGCCTCGTACTGAGCACCGCGACCGGAGAGCGGGCTGCTGCCGGCGACGGCCTGGACCGGTTGGCCGTCCAGGTCCTTCACAGCCGAGGTCAGCAGCTGCACCGAGCTTGTTGCAATGGCCTCCGTTTCCTCTTTGGTGATGGTCTTATGGCGGAAAAAAAGGGGGAAAAAATAATGTAAAGTTTGATCTTACATCGCTAGAGATTGTAGTTAGGTAAACAACACAAAATATCCAAATTATCCTTGAATTTAGAGGAGAACCCACCTGAAGGCGGTGAAGGAAGAGCTGCTGCAAGAAGTCCTCCCACACAGCCAGGGGGCGCCCCAGCAGCTGCTGACATACGTTACCCCAGTGCTGACTGATGGAGTCAGTGGTCAGAAGATCCCACACAGCGTCTCTAATGGCTGCCAGAGCCTTGAGGCTCTTCACGTAGACCAGGAGGGAGCCGACGCCCTGACAGATGTCCTGCTTGCAGCTGGGAACAGTAAAGTTGCAGGAGTAGAGCCCATTACCAAACTAACCGCTAAAAAGTTTGTTTTTGTGAGGAGACAAAAAGGGAGTCCTCACGTATTGATCCACTGCTGCAGCGTGTCCCGGAGCTGCTCCGCCTGGATGGGCTGAGCCAGGGTCCGGAGGGCGGGCTGAAACTCTGTGATGGATGGAGGCAGATATCTGAACCAGCTCCCTGTACTCCACTCCTGCTGCAACACCTTTCTGCCTTTACCTGACGACACATGAGACCAAGACATCGCCCTGATCAACGAGCAACAACTCCTACGTACCCTGAACCATCCACATGAAGGTAGAGACACGGAACCGGGGGGATGATCAAGTTTAACAGTTAACAGTTTTCCACTGATTGGAACGAACAGAACCAAAAACAGAGTGAGAAGCAGAGGGGGGAGAGTCTGGCTGCGACTGTGAAGAGGCAGAAAGCCTGGTTACAACAACTGGCTGGACGTAAGGAGTTTTATTGAGCTACCTCACAACCACATTGCATCTGGAGATGCTATTTACAGAATAGCATCTCTGTAAATATCTGGTAAATAAATATAGTATTTACCAGATGCTATTCTGGTACATACTATATAGCTGAAGCACTGCCTTAAGTACAGAAGAGACAAAAAGACAGACATCTGTTTGTTGAATTTCTGTCTGAACTAATTAAAATGCAGAATAAAGGCCTTTAAATTTGATATTTGAAATTATCTTGAAAACAATATTAAAATCTCGATTTGTCTCGATCTGGTCAACTCAACAGCCTCGTTGGTTTTGGGTATCGTAACACCTCCAATCACAAGTCATATCATGACTTCCGTGTGTCTTGCACCGGGCATAGAAACACATTTGGAGGTGCAGTTGATCCTACGGGCAGAGACTGTTTGTCTCACCTGTGGGAGTGCAGGAGGTCACATTCTCCAAAGTGGAGAAGAGCATGCCACAGCTGAGGGCGCCCTCTGCTGGCCTGGGAGCCCCCTCAACAGGCATGTAGAAGACGGCGTAGGCCTGGAAGAGCGTGGTGATCAGCAGCTCCACCAGGCTGCACACCTGGGCCTTGATCCCAGTGCCTGGGGGACAAAAACAAGCCACGAGTTGGTTCATGGACAAAACAATGACAGAAAACCAGCAATTTATCTGAACGTACGCCCACAAGCTGCTGGTGGCTGTGGTCAGAGTGTTTCAGCTCTGCAGTCGGGATTTCTGAATTTCGCACTTAAAAAAATAACCAAAGTATCAAAAACTAAAAGTAGAACTAATAAAAACAAAACTAAATCATATTTAACTAATGAAACTAACAAACACACTAAAAATCAATTCTAACAAACTGAATTAGACACAACCAAATAAAACTCAACAGTAATGAAAACCCCCAAACTATCAGAACCCTGCATTAGCCTGCAGCCTCCCATGGCTTCTGGTTCTGTTGGTTCTGTTTAGCAGATGATGCAGCCATGCCTGGGTTGGACTGTCAGTACCTCAAAATGCGAGTAGGGTTCACCGAAGGAACAGTACCGTGCTGCGGCTGGTTCAGCAGCTGGTGGATGGAGGACTTCCTGGCCAACAGGAAGTCAGCCAGAGCCTGGCGTGGGGAGCTGTCCTCCAGCAGCATGGTGGAGACCAGGGCCTCAGCGATAGCCTGGTCCGACACGGCACGGCCGCGCAGCAGAGACCTGCTGTCCAGGAGGATGGCCGACCTGGAGGGAGACGGCGTTTAGAGGCGGAGCCAGCAGGAACCTGACCAGTGATTGGCCGACAGGAAACCCAAATATCTGATCAGTGAACACAACGCATTTCAGTGCCGTCGTGTTATTTTACATAGCAACCCAGAACAAGTACCAAACATGGAGAAACAACATTTTGCTTTATACTGAGCAAATCTAGAACTCAACTCAGAACAACTGGCTCCAATTTTTTTTCTTTTTACAAGACCTGGAGCGACCTTATCAGGCAATAAATTGCTTGACAAATGATTGTGATTTACAATAATATTGTGTTTTCTTTTTGTTTTTCTTGGCTCCAGTGACCTTTATTTAACAGCAGACTGACGAAAGCAGGTTATGAGCGAGGTTATGCAGCAGAGGTCATCGGGTCAGAACTGTGACCTGAAGACTGAGGCCTCCTGCACCACCAGTAGTATTGTTGTTTTGAGATTATTTACAGATAATATATTGAAATTGCAAGTTTGCGCTCTCAAAGTCCAATACATTTGAATTTTGCAAAGAACACATCACTGGAATTGGAAAACATTTTAAATATCCAAAATAAAATGCGACGACGACAGACCATAAATGAAACGAAAATGAAAACCACGGAACCATGAATGACATGGATCATGATGTTTCTGTAAAGAAAACGGCCCTTCAAACGTATCATCAAAAAGAAAAGATCAAGCTCATTTCAATTTATCATGCGATGAATTAATTACTGCCACAGACTTGACCTGGAGATTAGCCATTTCCACCACCATACTGCATTTCTACACAAGAGTGATGCTTCCCATTTGTTTCACAATGTGAAACGTTTGTTTCAGTGCAGCTTGACCTTTTGACCCTTCTCATACCTGAAGTGTCCTGTGGTGGCGACCTGGCGGACCAGGATGGGGAAGCGGGCCAGCACTGGGCTATAGAGACCCCCTGCGGCCTCCAGCTGCAGCAGGCTGTGCAGGTGGCAGCAGAGCAGGTAGAGCTGGGTGGCCTGCAGGAACTGGGCCGCCTCCATGGAGCTCCAGATGCGCTCTGGGATCTCCAGGAGGAGCTTGATCTGCGAGGCCATGGTGTAGAACTTCTCCTGCCACTGCTTCTGGTTCTGATTCTGGTTCTGCAGCAGGACACAAACAAACATGATGATGATGGAAGGATCAGCTCTCCATCAGCTGAAACTCTTCATGTTGGGTCTGCTCTGAGTTTGGGTCAGGAGCAGTGACCGGTACCTCCGGTCTGCCGCCCCCCGCGCCGGTCCTGCCCCGCTTCAGCGTGTAGCAGTACCGCTGCATGTCCTGGATGGACTCCACCACGCTTTCCGAGCACTCTCGCATCTCCCCGATGGTGTCGGCGGCGTCGATCAGATCCCGGTACCGCTCCCCGACCATCTGCCTCAGCTCCTCCTTCTTCTGCTCGATCTCCCCGCGGACCTTGCGCTCCACCCGGCGGATCTCCTCGGTGCTGTAGCGCTCGAAGAGAGCCGCCGGGTCCCTGATCTCCGAGACCCGCAGGGCCAGCACGGGGTCCCCGGCCATCACTCCCTCCAGACGGGTTCAGCTGGGGACTGAAAGCCAACCCGGAAACAGGCGGAGAGACACTTCCTGCTTCCACGTCGCCAATGTCGGTGACGTCGCACGTGTGTTAAGCGTTCATTGGTCAATCAAATTGTCTGTCAGAGAGGATTTCCGTTTCGGACTGATCCCGCCTACCGCATCCAAAAGACGAATAAAAACCGAACAGGAGCCATTAGAAAGGAAATATTACAGAGTTAATGTTTGGTTGGATCATTTTCAAGCCTTTTAAAGAAAATAATTTACATTCTAAAATATTCAGGCCACATAAATACAATCAGTTCTCTACTGTTCGGTCTCATATTATTATTATTATTATTATTATTATTATTATTATTATTATTATTATTATTATTATTATTATTATTATTATTATTAATGTCTCGTAGAGATGCAAAAAACAGCAACATTGGTATAAGAAGAAAGAACGGATCTATAAAAACAAGGCAAATAAAAGTAAATGGAGTATTTCAATAAAAAGAAAAATAGGTACAATTTATACTATCTACATCGAACTCCAAATGACTCTTAGGAAAACGTGTTTACATTTATGTAAACAAATGCAAAGTGCTACGTCACAGTCATCCCGGGGGCCCTGATCATGCCACGCCCACTTCCCTACCTGCTCCTGTGTCAGTCAGGAGGTGGAGCAGCAACAGGTGCAACGCTGTAAAAAAAAAGATCTTTGTACCCGGAAGGGGAAAAAAACCTGTAACAATAAGCGACTCTTCGTACAGGTAGGTTTGACTCTGGTTATTTCAATAAGATTATAAAGAAAACGTTTGTAAGGGAAGGGGGTGGTGGAGTGGGTTACACAGTGGGCTGTTACACAGTCAGCTGATATCTCGGCTGGACCATCAACAAATTTAATGTCGGTCGAAACACGAAGAAGAAAAACAAAACAACAACAACAACAACAACAACAGTAGTTTCCAGGTCATGAGCTCTATTGGCACCACATCTGTACTCAGTCGTGTCAATATACTATATTCATTAAAAACACCAGCCCTTCATTACAACCAGATCACGTGATTCATTTATGTAGAACAGTTGGAGTTTTTACTCAAAGTCATCAGTCATAATCTCATTCCTGTCCACTCCTGGTCCTAAATAGTTCTTACAATAATTCACTTCTCTGGCAGAGTTCATTCTGTTTTTCTGGGAGCCGACCAGGACCGGGACATGGATCAGAGGAACATCCAGCAGGAATTTGAGGACCAGTTCAATGATGTGGTGTCCAGGCTGAAGTCCAAGCAGATGTTCCAGTCTGACTGGGACATCGCTTCTTTTGCCATCTTCTTTATCTTCATTGGTAAGATACTGTGGCGCTCCAAATGGCAGCAGCATGTTGGAGTTCAGTTTGGTTTATCAGTGTATTCAAGACAGTGGGAATGTGGATAAAATCATTGATAAAAGAAGCTTTGAATCAGATTTGGCTTAAGCTAGTTTTCATCAGTACGGCCTGTGCAGGTGAATTGACTAAACACTCTAATATCATAAGCATACTTTGAAAGTCTCCATATGCTCTACATACAACAATATTAGCAGCACTAAATGCAATGTGGCTCTGTTACTTTCATTTGAACTTTTTTTTCTTTTTAAAAACTGTAAGTTTTCCTTTTTCTCACTGATAGATTTTTTGGGGGGATGATTATTTCATCAGCTCAAAAGATTTTTGATATTTAACTTTTATTATGTGTAACCATAAAAACAGGGGGCTTAGAACTAGCAGCGGGTTATTTACATGTAAAGTTGTGTAGTATGGAAAAAAATGTACTTTTATCAGTAATTGTACTACATTGTACTTTTTGTGTTTACTTCAGTAATTTTATTATTTTTTTACTCTACTCTTGCTTGAGTAAACGTTCTGCTTACTGGACCCACTGAGTGAAGAACAAGCTTGTTTTAACCAAAGGTTCACCAGACAGACACACTCCTGCTGTTCTTGTTGAAGTATCATTAGTTTTATTTTTAAAAAAACTGATTTGACTGATTTTGTTTTTTTTGTTATTCATATGAATTATTTTCATTTTGATTCTTAAAAAGAATCAAAATTTTATACTTTGGTCCCTCCAATGAGGAAGTTGTCAAATATTAAATCATGAATGTTCTGATCATTTACTTAGTACTCAAGTAGACTTTTTACCAAATGCTTTTTTACTCTTACTAGAATAATTTCTTGGACGGCTACTTTTTACTTTTACTTCAGTAAAATATGTCGAAGAAGTGCGTCTTTTACTTGAGTACGTTTTATGGGCTGCTTCACTGAGCTCTGCTAACATTGCAAAGGTTCAAATTCTACTTCAACTGAAGCGTGGTTTCCAAAGCACACGTTGGGTTGTTTTCCGGTTTTTGTACAAATACTGACACCTGAACTCTTCCTGTTTCTTGTCACTGTTGTGCACAGGCGTGGTTCTCACGTTGGTCTTGCTGGTTCTCATCCGGTGCTGCTGCTGCGGCTGCTGTGACGATGAAAAGGTAAAAACTCTTTGAAATCAACAGCAGTAATGTCTCTGGTATGATGTAAGACAAGCGCAAATGAATTCTAATGATAGTAGTTATGCTGTGTACTTTACTTCAAAATCAACTCAGAGCTTCAGTTGTCTTGTCACACTTTTTCCTTCCATATAACTTTCCACTCATATTTTTTTGGATATTGCAATCTGTAAAAATTCAGCTTCTTTAGCAACAACATAATCTGTCTTAACCTCTCTGTGATTGTGTGAGTTATAGTTAAGCAGTTCTGTTAAAAAAATAATAAATAAAAATCATTTCACATATTTAAATCAATAAATCTTAATCTTGAGCTTTCAGCTGAAAAAAAAAAAAGAAGTGAATGCTTAAATAATTCTGCTGTTATTTAATAAGTATGTTTTGCCATGAAAGGGAACATAATAAACTTTAGAAATATTAACTCACTGACATGTATTGTGTGTTGCTGACAGAAGTGTTTATTATCTTGTGTGTGTTCTTTCTCAACAGCCGCGCAGAAGAAAGGTCGGCATAGAGAACTACGGCATGGAGCCCTGAGCGACCCGGTCCGACCGCGAGAGGCTGAGCAGAACCATCTCATCCTCTTCCTGTGCCAAAATGCACACTGGAATCAAAACGCTTCAGACAGAATGGAATTCCTGCACAATGTTGTTTCCGCAAATGGAAAGTTAGCACACGTGATCATTTCCTTTTTCCCTGTCACAGCTTTGTGGGTTTTGTTGCCAGGTTACCGCAGAGCAGCTGGGAGACCTGTATGTAGATTTGCTAAAATCAAATTTAATTAAAGGTTTTTACTGAGTAATGAAGCAGTTTAATGTTTGGCTCTGTGTCCACCTGTGCTGTTCAGTGAGTGTGTTGAGCTGCAGCAGAGAAATCCAGCAGGTCCCTGTGCAGCTGGAACCGAGTCCAAACTTCAAAACAGAGAAAATGGGGCAGAAAGGATTTCTCTGCGGAGGAGTTCAGTGGGTCACAGAGAGACAGAGCTGCACGGGAATCTGACACCGTCACCACTTCCTGTGGGACCGACTCCTACTGACCCAAACGCCCAACCTTCCTCAGACCGTAGCAACCCGAGAATAACAGCAAAGATTCAATTTGGGTTCTTCAGAATTTAGAAATGAAAGTCAGAACAAGTGTAGTTTGGACTCAAATCAGGAATTTAAAGTAAGTAACGAACAGATATAATATAATTGTGTAGTTTGACATTTCAAAAGTAAATTTTATTGGAAAAACCCCCATTTCAAACATCTTGTGTCGTGAATGCTAAGGCTAGTTAGCATGGATTCCAATAAGGGTGAATAATGTTTTCCTGGGATGTCTTTACATTTAACAGCAGATACACTAGTTGACTGAAAGCACTAAGCCCCTCCTCCTTCTTCTGATTGGTTGTTCTTGGCTGGGAGTTGGAACAACCAATGGAGGAGGAAACAGAGGAGCTCAGGTTTTTCCACAGATTATAAATGTCATACCACATTGTCACAATATGGTGACAGTTCTAACAAATATGCAAAAATCATATTCTTTAATAAAAGTGTGTGTGTCACACAGAATCCTATTAACATCCACTCATAAAAGCAGAGCTCAAACGAGGTTCTTTTAGAGTTTTATTGCACAGAGGAATCTTTTCCACAGTTCATTTTACAGGCAGCGTCTTAAGACAGGTTAACACTTAAGAGTGACGAAATCATTTGTTCATGATTAGATTAATGTTCCACAGATTAAGCACATGAGAAACATAATAAATACAAACACAGAGCCGAGAGGACAGAATCAAACGACACAAATAGCTTAGAGCCGGGTTAAATCCAGGGAATGTGTGCAAAGCTGGAAGATAAACTGTTTTCCTCCTGATGCTGTCTGGTCAGCTGTGGAGTTAGAAACTTAATAACCTGAAGAAGAGCAGATTAGTGGACATGAATGATTTCAGCATGGACCAGAGTACCAGCTGGATTCCTTTGGGACAATCTTTGTAGCTTACATCTGATGTAATAGAGCACCAAAATATGAAAAAAATAAAAATAAAAAAAACGACTTTTAAAGCATCAAAGAGTCTTGAAATAGAGATGCACCAATCAGAGATTATTGGTCGATTCCCATTTTAAAATTCAGACCTGCTGATATTTTAGCCAGCATCTCCAGATCCATAGCAGGATGAACAGCTCTTCCTGCTATTAATCGTTTGTTATTAGTTTTGGGAGCAGATCTGATGTCATTGGTTTAGTGCAATGCAAACATCATGGTGCAAAGAAATAGTCCTCTACATTCTCTGTGAGGGCAGCCGGAATAATAATTCTGGATAAAGCCAGAATTCTATGACGGCGTTTAGGGGCCCACATATTTAGACAAAAAAAATGAGTAGTAGATTTATGGCAAAAAATAGAAAAATCTACAAAAATCTCAGAAACTTACTAGAAAACCAAGTAAAGTTTCAAGAAGTCTAAAATTTCTGAGTTTGAATATTTTCTATTTTTCAAATTTTCTAGAAAAGTTTGGAGATTAATGTAAAAATCTTTGAATTTTTTGTCAGAAATGTGCTCCTCTTCCCCCGGCCCCATCGGCCCCAAGGTGACACTCCAGGATTCTTCCTGTTTTTTTGTTTTTTTTTATTCAGAAGAACCACATATCCCCAGAGGCTATCACTGAAAGGCTGACTTAGTTTTTTTTTTTAATCTACTTTATTAATCTTGGTCGCATATCGCCAGTGTTTTTAGAGACAGGGAGTCAGATCTAGACAATAAATCTGTTCGATTGAGCTTGAACAAATTTAAACACTGAATGCTTTTTCTTTTAACACGGCAAACATGAAAACTCCCTTTCAAGTTTTGGATCTACAATGAATAACATCTCTTCCCTATCAAAATAAATACATAATAAAATCAGAAAACTTCATTAGCTTGATTTTAGTGTTTTTTTTTCTCCATAAAGTTTGGACACCGTTACTCCAACAACGCTGGTATGACTGACACAAAAAAAATATTATCCATCCCTTTAAAGGTGCCGTGTTCAACTGGTTAGTCATTGTTATCAGCAAGCTAATAATAATAATAATAATAATGATGACAGGCCATGGGTCACCAGATTTCAGCGTTTCTGTAACTTGTAGACGTTAGAAGGAGTCTGGCCCGTTGAGAGTAAATCTCAGAGAACGACTGAGATGCTGGAGGGAGGAAAACAGAAACTAGCAAAATGCCCAGAGATCAGAGGAAATTTGCGGTTTTCAGGACAAACCTGAAAACACTTTGATGCTCAGTCCTTCCATCCTGAGTGCAAACATTAGAGAATTTAAATAATTGTTCATTCATTCACTGAGATGTTCAAGCCTGTGTCATGAGTTGCCATACACCCATCTGAGAGAAACAAAGGTCAGCTGACCTAACTCAGTTATTATCTGTACTATTGATATCTGGTGGTGTGTGGCTACTTTCAGCTCATGGTGCAACACTTTGACAGACTGCATGATGAATACATAGAAAAATAAAAGCTTTCCAGTGCTTCCCTTACACTTGATTGGTTAGTTTGGTTTGTGGAGGACGGGCTGGATCAGAACGGCCTGTAGTTCCAGAAGCTGGAAAAGACGGAGATCTGGAGGGGAAGGAGGAGAGAAGATCCAGTTAGCGACTGGGTCAGAAATGGTGGAGACGCGACACACACACTGATCCAGAACACACAGCGGTTTTAAAATGCTTTGAGGCAACAGTTGCTGCCTGAATCAAACAGTTAAACTCAAAGAAGAGTTCAAAGTTCCTCATTCTTGGACCTAATAGGGATCAGTTTATATGAAACCTGACAGTTAGTTTCATTTTTATCCAGACTATTTCAAGCTCAAGAATGTGAGAAATGAAGAAAAGTCGGAATTCAACTGGAAACAGCAAACTACAGGAGTCTTCACACCTGATGGTCCAGAGAACCACAGACGGAAACGACACAGAAGCTGACCACAACTTCCTTCTTCATGGAATGGAGTGGTATGAGGTTTTAGCAGTAGGAGAATTTCTCTTTTATGTTTGGCAAAAGACCATGAGTCATTTCTCCCGCTACAGCCAGACTAGCATGGTTGTTTTGGTTGTAATTACCCAGAATGCCCTGCACTGTAGCCTGCTTCCTGCTTTTGGAGCCGTTTCTGGGCCGCTTGCCATTCACATATGCATGGGAAACGCATCAGAGTTCACTTCAACTGAACCGAGACCGAGGTCTGATTATACATTCACAGAGAAGCGGACTTTCTAGACACACGGACTGGAGTTGGATTAACGCGGACCGAACAGAGCTGGTGTGAACGCACCCAAAGACAGATTAGGACTGATTTAGCATTCGCTGATGCTTTTTGGTAATACAGGCAGACAAGGCTGTAGATTCGATATAGAGGAGTGTTGATCATATGATGTCATTCCTACACAGACTTTTCTACCACAGTGATATTAATATCCATTATCAATGCTGTCCTGCAGAGTTTGGGGCAGGAACAGAGATATTGGTCTTCATGATTCTGCTTTGGTCCAGATATTTGACACTTCACTCAGAACCTGGACCCCACTGTTCACCACACTCTGACCCATGAAACATGGGAGTCATTTATAGCGGCTCAGTGGAATAAACTCTCGACTTTTCATCTAAAAATGAAAGGAGCAGAAAAACAAACACTTTGTAAGAAATGCCTCTGCTTCAGGCCCACCTTGTCCTTGAGTTGCTGACAGAGCTGCAGGGAGATGGTGAAGAACACCAGCGTGTCGCTGAGCCACGGCACCACACACTCCACCTTGTGAACGTGGCTCACCTCGAAGCGGTTGCTGTTGAGCTCACTGTGGAAGACAGTGTTAATGAAACACAACCTCCAGCAGCTGACATCCTGGGTTAGCAGCGTTTACTCTCTTCACTCAGGCCTGAGTCTCAGTCTGGTTCACTTTCCTGAAAACTCAGCTGGAACTGTTCATCCAACAACTGCTCAGACAAAAAAAAACTAAAATAAAAATCTGGTTATCAGTCCAACAATTCTCAGAATGGGTTTAAATGGCATAATGGACAGGCGTTGTTATGACGATATGCCAAAGGCGGAAGGTCAGAGAGAGTAGGAGCTTCTTAAAGAGACAGAGGCCCAATTTCAAGGCTTTATATCACAAAATCTAATTTCTTATTAAGTCATATTTGATATAAGCAGCAGAATAACAACTCAATGTGGCATAATTACTTAATTGTGCTATAAAATTGCTCTGTGTTCTTAGAAAATACATAATACTGCCCTTTTTTCTCTTACTGATTTGAGCTGCTGTTTGTAGCTTAAAGCTGAACTCTCCTGGTGGTTACACTGTAGCCTGCCCAGCTTCCAAAGGTTTTCTACCTGATGCTCAATGAATAAAAACAGTACCAGCTCAGACCCAATGGACCGTATCTGGAAATCAAACTTACAACATCGCTCCTGGATTGTGCAACACAGAGCTTCCTGTTGGCTTGAAGTTCTAGGGAAGACAGGAGAGAAAGCAGTGAGACAGCAGCCGGGTGAACAGCAGGGAGGTCAACTGGAGGGTCACAGGGTCTGACCTTGGTGGTGTTGGGAGGCAGCACGTGTAGCTGGTAGACGGTCAGACACAGCTTGCTTAAATTGATGTAAAAGTTCACCATCACGTCGCCAGGCATAGGGGGAGTGAACATTTTCTGTAGTACAAATGACAGAAAATGGTGTGAGGCAACAGGAAACCGCAGGAATGACAGCATCACACACCCTGGACCGGAACACACACTCACTACAACCAGAACCTGCAGTGGTTTCTATTGGGATCATTGGGGTGGGACGACATGAACACTTTATCAAATCAAATCAAATTTTATTTGTATAGCACATTTCAGCAGCAAGGCATTTCAAAGTGCTTTACATCGTAAACACAAAAACTCAAAGTCATGCATCATATAATAAACAATACATTGTTACATATTACATTTCTAAAACAATTCTAAACATGAGTGTTTTTAGTTGAGATTTAAGGAAGTCAGGGTTTCTGCTGTTTTACAGTTTTCTGGGTTTTTGTTCCAAATTTTTGGTGCATAGATGCTGAAAGCTGCTTCTCCTCTTTAGGTTCTGGTTCTGAATATGCAGAGCAGACCAGAACCAGAACCTGAGAGTCTGGAAGGTTGGTACAACAACAGCAGATCTTTGATGTATTGTGGTACTAAACCGTTCAGTGATTTGTAAACTAACAACAGTATTTTAAAATCTATTCTTTGAGCCACAGGGAGCCAGTGGAGGGACTTTAAAACTGCTGTTATGTCTCTATGTTCCTGGTTCTAGTGAGAACAGGAGCAGCAGCTTCTGGATCAGTAGCTTCTGGATCAGCTGCAGCTGTTTGAAGACGCTGTTACAATAATCAATGCGACTAAAGATAAACGCATGGATGAGTTTCTCTAGATCTGGCTGAGACATTAGTCCTCTAATCCTGGAGATGTTCTTCAGGTGATAGAAGGCCAACTTTGTAATCGTCTTTATGTGGCTCGCAAGGTTCAGGTCCGAGTCCATTACTACTCCCAGGTTTCGTGCCTGATCACTAGTTTTTAGTTGTAATAACTGAAGCTGTGCATTGACTCTAGATCTATAGCTCTAGATCGTTCCTCTTTAGGCCCAAAAACAATGACTTCAGTTTTGTTTCTGTTCAGCTGGAGAAAGTTTTGGCACATCCACCCATTTATCTGTTCTAAACTTTTGTTCAGTGATTGGATGGGGTCAAAGGCCACCTGGTGACATCATACTGTAGAGCTGTGTGTCATCCGCATAGTTATGGTAGCTAATATTATTTCCTGTTAAAACCTGAGCTAGTGGGAGAATATAAATATTGAATTAGAGGGGTCCTAGGATTGAACCTTGGGGTACCCCACATGTGACCTTTGACCTCTTTGATGAGAAGTTTCCAATTGAAACAAAGAAATCTCACTGAACCGGAGAGTTCAACTCAACTCTCCAGTCGATTCAGTTTATAGAACCAGTCCAACTGAATCTGCTCTCTCAATCTTCCCGTCAACTCAACCTGTGGACCTCCATGTCCTGGTAGGTCAGCTGGTCCGTCGTCTCTATGTCCAGAGGAGCTAACTCTGCTTTAGACTTCTAAAGATCTTTGATGTATTTAAGAACTGTATGTCCAAAGTAGTGCATGAACAGCGTCCAGCAAACTGGACAATGAATTTGCTCTTAGATGCAAAAATAAATAAATAAATAAATAAAAATCTAGCTAACTAGCTGAGATATATTAGCAGTGAGTCAGAAAACACAATGAAGATGTCTGCATGCGAGTTCAACTTTTGCCTGAAATGACATAAAATATGCAAGACTAAACAGTGCTGCCAAGACAAAATTTAAGATTTTATTAACTTTTTTAAATTATTGAAGATCAGCTGTTCTGGGCAGAACCAGAACACTCAGATTAAATCCCACTCAGCTGGATTCTGTTCACCGATTAGATCACTTCTGAACTAAACTCCTCCGACTGGGTTTGCTGCTTTCACAGCTGTGCACAAATTTTTATGGATCCATCACATAAAATCCCAATAAAACAAACCGAATGAGCTGCACTGCTTGAAATGTGAAAAGTTTCAAGGGACATGTATACTTTCGTAAGGTGTGGCTAGAGTCTTAAAAGCGCTGGCCGTACCATCAGACCGCTGGTGGCGAGTTCTGGAAGGGTCAACGATGCCGGGGTGGTGAGGCGGTTTCGTGCTCGCGTCAGCTGCAGCATCACGGCGTCCATGAGCTGCAGAGTGAACAGAGCCGTCCGGTCGTTATGACCACGCCCAGCTGTGCTCCGAGGTGAGGCTGAGCTCAGAGAAACTGACCTTGTTGACCTCGGCGCCCGTCTTGAACTGGTAGGTGTCGTCGCGGCTGCTCAGCAGCAGCAGAGCCTGGTTCACGTGGTTCCTGGCGTCCTGGATCTGACGGGTCATGGAGAACCGTCAGCCTCCAGCAGGTCTTTTCATCACGCTACATGCTCATGGTACATTTTCACTTCACAGTTTCTTATCTTCACTGCAAAAACACCAACTCTTACTAAGTGTTTTTTCTTGTAGTTTCTAGTGCAAAAATATGCTAGTAAACTTGAAATAACGGCGTTGCAGTGATCGGACAGAAAAAAGAGAAAATATAGAAAAGGTTCCGGTCTCCTCCGCAGATTTGCGGAGGAGTGAACACGGCAAAATTTGGCGGAAAAAATTTGCAAATGCTGAGTGAATTTGCATAGTTGCAACTGCAACTTCATGGAAGGACTGGTTAACCATCACTGACTTGTCAGGGTGTGTATTTTTAACATGTGAATACATTTAGTTAAATTCCGGATTATTTTATACTGTTTAGTGTGATAAAAAGCCTCAAGCCTTTCTGTTAGCGGAACGCGTTGAAGTGACGGGCGGCGGCGGTACCTGCTGCAGCTTCCACTGTTTGTCCTCTCTGAACTGGAAGTGCAGGACTTGGCTGCTCTTGGCAACCTTCAGGTTTATGTCCTGCAGAGCAAAGGTCGACATTAAATGATGTCATTCGGCTTCGATCGGCACTTCAGGAAGCAAAACGCCGTCACTCACCGCCTGAGTCAGAGCCTCTCCCTGCAGAGTCAGCACCCCCTTCACCTGATCCATGCTGCAAGCACACAAGCAAGAGGCCAGCCTTTCACGAGCGTTACCATGACGACACAGAGCAATGCACACGGAAACAAGTCCAACATATCCAGAGTCGTAGAACAGGATCCACACGTCTTGACCCATTAAAACCATTAAATCCAGTATATGTTTGCATTTACGACAGAAATCTGTTCCACCCAGAACTCTTCAAGCAGCACAGTTGAGCATCACCTCATTCAAATTCTGGAAATAAACCTCCTATTAAGCACTTCTTTCTGTCTAATTATTACTCTATTAATCCAAAAATGGATCAACCGATCAACCCAATGCACTGATGCTAAGTCGAGCAGAAAGGACTAAGCTTTTCACATGTTGACGTCAGCAGAAACCGATTTAAACTTCAGCTTCATCCTTTGCTACCAATGATCAAGTGTTCACTAAAGGAAGCCAATAAAATGTTATTTTTTTTCTTTTAGAAAAGAAATTTTATCATGCATTTATTTTTTAGGTATTTTTAATATTGCATAGATTAAATTTAAGTGGTTAAATGAATGCATCCATTTTCTAAATCCAATTAATAACTGATTACTTTGATCACTTTTAGCTGCAGCTCTACCCAAGACTTTTGTTAAAAATTAGTGAGCAAGCAATGAAAAGTTCAGATGTATGAACACTTTTGCACTCTCAGACACTAAAACATCCTAAGGGGACGTTTCAGAGAAATAAAGAAAGACGACAAACTGGGGCAGTAAACACATATTCACGGTCAAAGTGGAATTATTTTAGAGCTTTGGCTGTTTTAGATTGGCTGAATCTTCGCGTCATAAATAGACAAAACTAGCTCAGTTTAAGTAACTGACTTATTATTTGAGGTAAGGACACACAGTGGCAGGCAGTCACTTCATCACACAGAAAGCCCCTGTTATCTAACAAACATCGTCTGCTTACTGTAAACTACAGCTGACCTAGTGCAAGGCCGTGTAACTGCAGACCAGCTGCATGGCTCAAAACAAACAGGCGAGGCTTTGGAAAGCTTACGTTGAGCTGCCCAGGATGAAGTTCTCCTGCTTGAGCTGACTCTCCAGGCCCGGAGTGGGCATGGAGAATCGTCTGGACGCCTCCTGTGAACAAGAACCAGCAAACATTTGAGACAACAGACCAACTGGACGACTCTATTCTAGAGGTGGGACTCCAACAGCCAGACACAGGCAGGCAGGCGAATTCAAATGAGGCACAAAATAACTTTTTTGCCACTGAAAATCAAATATAGTTCCCAAGATAAATAATCAAGGGGTTATAATGTTAGTATTCCTACTAACAGATCTGTTAATATTCACCCATCTTAAATATTACAGACCCAAAGTTTTCATATAATTCTTTATAATAGAAAGATTTCATTCCTCTTACAAGCACTAAAAGACAACTAAAATAAGCTTGAAGTTGAAATGGTTAAATAATGGAGGTCTTTGTTATTCTCATTGATATTTTCTTGGTTTCTTGATAAGTTCCTGAAACTGTTTTATTGCTTGGCACTAAGCTCGACTCCTACCTTGAGGATCTCCTGAAGCTGCTTCAGGACAGCATGTACTTCTTCTTTCAGCAGCCAGTTAAACTCCTCCTCCTGCAGAGAAGAGAAACACTCAGATTAGTAATAGCACCTGGAAGCTACTTACAGATTGGAAAAGTACTGATACCTTGACTTTCCTTTTTTTTCTTTTTTTCACATTTTGTCATATTTCAACCGCAAACCTCAATGCGTTTTATCAGATTTTCATTTTGGTTTTAAAACAAATTCCCAAGCCTTGCATATCACACAGAGCTCTGTTCAATTTATCATCTAAACATTTTGAAAAATCGTCAGAAAACTTGAGTCTGTGGTCAGAGTTTCAGCTTCCAGCAGGACAATGACCCTGTTGGAATGTCAGCATGGTCAAGCCAAAGTCCAGAATTAAATCCAACTAGGAATCTGTGTGAACCCTGAGAAGTGATGCTCTCCATTGAATCTCTTGATTTTTTATGTAAACTATTAAGTCTTTTTATTTAAAAAAGACTGTGTGTAAAAAAGACTTTCTCAAATGGTCTTTTCCAATTCACGACTTGGCAACAAAGTTAAGAACCATCTCAAAAGTCAACCCATCACTTATCATTCCTTCCAGTCCTGGTGGATGTGGATCAGTTCTGGTGGATGTGGGTCAGTTCTGGTGGATGTGGGTCAGTTCTGGTAGATGTGGGTCAGTTCTGGTGGATGTGGGTCAGTCCTGGTGGATGTGGGTCAGTCCTGGTGGATGTGGATCAGTTCTGGTGGATGTGGATCAGTTCTGGTGGATGTGGATCAGTCCTGGTGGATGTGGATCAGTCCTGGTGGATGTGGATCAGTCCTGGTGGATGTGGATCAGTTCTGGTGGATGTGGATCAGTCCTGGTGGATGTGGATCGGTTCTGTTGGTGGGATCGTTACTCTGTGGACCCAGAGAAACAAACGGACTCCTCCTTTCAGTGTTTTGCTTTAAGCTGAGGTTAAATTGACACGTTGAGCGATGGTTTAATAAAACATGTCAGCTTTGCCTCGGTGTATTTTGGACCCGCTGGTCTCGGTTACTGGCCTCCATGTTCAGTGATGCTCCCTGCTGTCACACCGGGCCTTCAATCTGACAGCGCGAGCTCCCGCTGCCCTCGCGGCCCCCCGACACCGAGCACGGTCTCGCGCTGCTGTGACCGGAGAACCGAGCGGCGAAATGCCCCGGAGGCGACATGCTATCGGCTGGGTCGGGATGAGACGGCGAGCCGCGCGGTTCAGCAGGGAGTCGCTGTGTGTCTCCCGGTCGGAGGAGCTTACCAGCACGGCTCTTTCCACCTGACTGGCCGCGGACATCTTCGGCAGCTCGGACAGGGACCTCTGCGGATGCAGCATTTTTCTGCGGCCAAGAGACAAAATCCCTGGTTGTGGAGTTCAGCGAGAACACTGTCTTTTCTCTGGGATCACTGCTTATTTTTCTTTTTTTTTTAAAGCCCACTAGCTTAGAGGAGGATGCGTTGCGTTCAATATGGTCGGAAATTATATTGCCAACGACAAGAAAAACATAATCTTCTTACAACAAACGTAAAAACAAGCCCACTGCTGCAGACATTAAATACTGGCTTTCAGCAAAATCCTACATACGTGTAACTTTAAAGACAATTGAGAACAGGACGCTCGAGGGATGTGTTGTTGCGCGTGTGCAGATAATCGTTTTTCTTTGTCCCATTTGTCTTAGAAATACAATAATTTTGGTATTTAAGTTGTCTGTAAACTCTTTTCTCGAGCTGAAAGAGTTTGAAAATTTATGTCGCCCCCGAACCCCCCCAAAAAAACCCCTCAAAAGACAAAAATGTTAGTCTTTACAAGACGCATTGAACGCAACATTCCCCTGGTCACACACTTGCTATTAAGATGTCCCCACCCACTAAGCCTTATATGGTAAGCCCCGCCCACTCGCACACAACCAAAGTTCAGAAGAGTCGTTATCAGCGGCCAGCAGAGGATCGATGGAGCAAATAAACCGAGTCACAGTTTGAAGCTGTTTTCCAACAAAACAGCAGCGAAGCGAACAACGCGGTGTGTCAACAGCCTCTGTGTGTTTTATGTTGTTTAGTTTGAGAGGTTTAGTGGTAAATATTCAGCTTATTTGCGGATCAGTTCAAAGTGCTTTACGTCATTGAGACATTGTCTACACAGGATCAATTGAGTCGTGTGTTTTTTTTCACTAAAAAGTGAACCATGTCAAAGTCCAGCACTGATTTCCACCGCGTACATTTCAGGGATGAAAATAACCTGAAAGTTCTTCTCTCGTGTTTTATTTTGTTTGTTTGTTTTTTAAAGGGGGGCCAGGGGGGGTCAGTGACGTCACAAGAGGAAACAGATTGGAGCAAATCAACACTTTGATGGTTAGGAGACTTTCCACACATTTCATCACATTCTGAAGCGTTGGACATGCCAAGAGTCCAGCAGACCAGGACGGATCCGGAGTCCGAAATGGATTCTGCAGTGGGTGGAGAACGTGACGCAAGCGGTCTCCATGACAACTGGCCCAAATCTGCTCGTACGGCAGTTTGAACATCAAATTCCTACCAGTACATCTTCCCCAAAACAACTTCTGATTAGTGAGAAATTATTCTTTTTCTGTCTCCAGCTTCTTTTTTAATATTGCAAAATTACTTTTTTTTTAAACACATAAAAAAATGAAACCATTGCATATTCAGTTCTGTAATTTGGCAGTTTACTGCTGTCCAGGATTCAGGAGTGGAGGAACAACAATCAATTGTCTCCGAAAAATGTCAGAAGTTTCCAAATGCAGACATTTTGCAAAACTTGTATCTCTATTTTAAAACCCAAAAGGTTGTTTATTTAAAAATGAAAACAAATCAACAGCAGGTATTTACCAATGTCAATATTTCTGAAGACGGATATTCTGTTTTTTAGTTACACCAAATCAACAAGCCGTTTTAATAACGCACCAACAATCCCTGTTAATTTTAATGTAAAAACATACAAACAAAAAGCAAATCGATCTGCATCAGTAATCAGGAGAGGATTTATTAAACAGCACAAAATTCTTGGTATTTCTACATGTACACAAAATCATAAATAACCCCAAAACCAAACTGTCACCCTCTCTGCACTGATGGGATCCAGATCCTTATGATTTGAATGCAATAAGCCAGACTGTAGGAGCCACATATTTATAAACCATTTACAGTTGAACGAAACCACTTACAGAATCAAGAGATAGAAGAAGTTAGTCGTTCTGCAGAGCAGTTGTCATTAATTCTGGTTATTGTAAATACAAAAAGGAACCCTATGTAGTTTCATGTGCTATTTACAACTGTCTTCTAAAAACAAGGTTTTCACCCTCTGGAAAAAAACAAAAACAAAAGATCTTTACCATGGCAAACGGGAGTTTTTTTTTTCCTTTTCAAAAATATAAATTTTCTACATAACTAAAGAGTTCTATTTGAAGAGAAACCAATTCATTTCTACTTTCTACTGGAGAAGGTAGAAAAAGAAAAACAGTGGGGTCTTCAGGTGGCCAATCAGGGAGCTCATTCGTTTCATACAAACCAACAGAAGCAGGACAGCTTGCTTCACATCCGTACTGTTAAAATCACTCTCTTGTTTTTGCATCAATATATTTGGTTATTTTTATATAATTCATCTACGATCAGTGAGCCGTTTGTGGTCATCCAGCGACAGCATCCTCCACATCTTTGGACTCAAGTGAATTGTTTTTGTTTTTTGCAGCATTATCAAATAAATTCATCTCTCACACTGGGAGCATTTAGTCCGGTATGTATTTTTATGCCTCGCTTCAACGCTAGGTTCTGTTGTCTCTTCCATTTTTGAAGAATGGCTAAAAGTACAGAATCCCTAAAGAGACAGTGAGGAAAAAAGAAATAAAACTTTTCATTCCGTCCAATGTCCCTTCAGGGATTTTTTTTCAGAAAAAAAAAAAAATCTAAAACATTTCGAAGATACAAAACGCTCATTAGCCACTAAAAAGGTCGCTTTAAATAAACGTAAATTTTAAAAATGAGTTCTGATTTATTGTTCAGGGTCAAAGCATCTTCTCAGGAGATTTTTTTTCCCCCATCTCCAATAAATAACAATTGTGCTGAAATCAAAAGTCGAGTTTTTCCTCCCATAACTCCAAAAAAAAAGTTTATGGTAAATGTAGAGAGTGCTGCATTTCCATGCTGGAGATCACCAGTTATTAAAATGATAATATTAATAGAGTGCAGAAGAGAAGGGCTGGTGATGTGGAGAATGAACCCGCCTGAGCTCAACAGGCTGTGGAGTGAACCGGATTGTTTCCTTTTCACCGTTATTCGTCACATTTCGCGCTTCAAACGCATGAGGCAGAGTTTATGTGACGTGGCGACGCGGTGAATCTCGTTTGTTTTATTTGCTCATTTGCGTAAAGGAGGAAATCACCGGAAAGTGAGCGGTTTGTTTAACCCTTCATTAGCCACCCACGGCGGGGAAGTACAGATGCGCAACGAGCCACCTGATGGAGGCCGACTGTGTAACAGTTTATGTTCCACTAAAAAAGTCAGCTCAAAACTGAAATAATGAGCTCTTAAATAAAGATTAGTCATCAGTTAGTTGACTTACGTCTTTTATAAACTCCCTAACCAAACCATCAACACTGGGACTTCTTATAAGTTTTCTTTGTCAATACAAAAAAAGAAGACAAAAGCAGGATTTACCTCCTTTAAGAGCAGAAACTAAAGATATGAGAACTCGCTGCAAAAGAAAAAAAAAAAACAAAATCATCCATGGAACTCAAGTTCTGGTGAAAATAGCTTTCACTGCAGTTTAAGGCCTCATGTCTGTTGCTCTGTCCTTACACATCACATCCACTGCCGTATGAAACAAACAGAAAGTGGCCCTGACCACGCTGCGCCACGGAGACCTACACAGGATCAGAAATAAATACATCTAGGATTGAAATACTTGAAGGGTTTCAATATTAAGGCAATGCAGTGGCATGTTCTTGGTGGTTTCTGTGACCAATTTAACAAAGTCAAATAAAATTAAAAAAAGCAAGGGTTTTACTTAAAATACACACGCGGGTAAAAATGTTTACGTGTGCACAAAACATGACAGCAACACGCTGGATTTTGTTGACTATTTTTCAAAGCAGAGCCTCGTTCTGGAACCTTCTTTCAGCAGTTCTTCCCGGTAGAGTCAGTGCAATGCCTTTTTTGAAAATGAAAAAAAATCCCAGACTTTTGGGCTGGTGTGGAACTATGTGGGCTGGCACTGGGGCAAAACCAAATAAAACCACTAGAATTTCTAATAAAAACTCATTAGATGACAAAGAAAAGATAAATGATTAAAGACTGCGTGGTCCAGGATGGGTCAGCTCTCACTCTAGTGAATGTAGGCTCTGTAGACGGCAGAAATGTCGTTGTCTGACTGGTCCAGTGCTTTAGCCCTCTTGTACACCTGCAGGCGGAACAGAGAAACAGTAAAGCACAACCACAAAGAAATACATTTCATCCCCAAAGAGTCACCATTTTAGAAAAGCAAATGCATCCTTATGTAAAGTATAAATACATAAATTTGAAGAATCAGTTCAAAAACCGAAACTCCGATAGTATTTTTCCAGACGGTGATTTAGTTCATGTTTTAACTTCTGTTCATTTGGTTTGTTCTGGCTTACAATGCCTAGAAAAAGTATTCACCTCCTTTGATGTTTTAGCCTTTTATTAGTGTTAAAAATCAATCATTTTCATCAAAACTTTGCTTTTTTGAGGGGAAAAAAACATATAAGGGTGCGCAATAATTATTGCCATATAATCACTGGCCCGACGTTAAGAAATTATGACGTCATCGTGAATTTAACGTTTTTAAAAAGAAGCAGAGACTTAAATTCACTTTTCAACGACATCCTAATCGAGAGACTCAGCAGTACCTCATTGGCTGCTGCAGCCATCGGAGTTGGATGGTTGGCCATGTCGCCCATGGAGATGGCTAGCCTCAGGTCCTTCTGAATGTGTTTCAAATAGTAGTCTGGTTTAAAGTTGCCTTGCAGGATATCTAGAAGAAATAGAAACAATGTTGTGCAGTGTCTGTCTGAACATAACCTGCTTTACAATGTCCGTGCAAGTTCTTACAGCAGAGCTTAAGACAAAACAAAAAACAAACAAAAAAAAAAAACATTTCAACTGTCAGTCAGATGAAAGAGACTCACTCTGACACTTCTGGTCCACAAAAGTGCTCGCCATCTGGCCCTGGCACAAGATGTCCAGGAAGGTCTGCTGTGATTGGCCGGTGGCCTGAGCCAGGGTGAGCCCCTCTGCGATGGTGGCCATGAAACTGCCCTGGACCATGTTGAGGATGAGCATCATCCTCGCCGCGTTGCCTGCTTCACCTGGAGACGCAGAGCCACACGGTCTGACCTCACACGCAGCAGGACCAACAGCAGCACTTCCTGTACAGGAGAGCCTGCACTGCAGCGTTCCCCACACCTTTTGGACCTCTTTGTTTGACATCTTGTCACAACAGTCACATTTATGAAGAGTTTTGGGATTTTATGTGACAGACTAAAATAAAGTCGTGCCTACTTGTCAAGTGAGAGGAACACGATACATGATTTTCAATGTTTGGTTTTTTTTCCATCTAACCCCTGAAAACACTTTGGTCTGAACCGAGTTAGTGACGTTTTGCCAAACTTCACATCATTTTCCGTGTCTCCTTCTGCTTTTGTGTCGCTAATCAACACATCAGCGTAGCTTCCGGAGACGAGCCAGAATGTGGTTTTGTTATTTGGCTGCCAATAATACCTGGTTGGCACTGCAAGATTTCAAAGCCGTCAGTTGGTAGTGTTGGATGCTAGCTTGGCACAGGGCACCTGTCCAGTGCAGCCTACATACCAAGGAAGAACGAGGTCTTGCCCATGGCCTGAAAGCAGCTGCTGCAGTCCTCATAAACCGTTCTGTCTCCAGCTGCCAGGATGACCAGCATCCCATCGTTGGAGAGCTGCTGGCTTCCTGCCACCGGAGCCTCCAGGAAGCGGCCGCCCCGTGACGTGATCACCTAGAGGTCCAACGTACAGAAATGGTGAGCGCGTCGTTACGGAGATAACAGCCGCTTCCGGCGTTCCAGATGGACAGTGAGACCTGGTTGCTGGGTTACCTGGGAGAGCTCTGTGATGGTCTCTGGATCTACAGTGGACATCTCTATGTAGCATTTGCCTGGCCTGATTCCCTGAAGAACTCCACTGGGTCCCAACACCAACTGCAACAATCACAGCCCAGCAGAGGAGCCAGGATCACACATTGAGTCAGCTCTCGGTGGAAAGTCACAAATTCACAAACTTTAGGGAAAAAGAGTTTTAGTTTCTGGCTAGAGACCGTCCTTGACAAGAATACTAAAGAAATATCAACTTTTAGAATGTTTTTTTTCTCACTTTTAAACAATATTTATTACATGTAGCATAACTGCTACCCCATATCTTCTGATTTTAGTCAGCTAGGAGGTATTAGTGATTTCTTTGGTTAACAGAAAAAAAAAATGTCTCATCAACTTTGCTCTGGCTATGGTAGCTTCAGGAGCAGAGCAGCTTAAAAATCAGAAAGCTGAGCATGTTACGCAACATTTAAATACATAAATACCTTCAAATACATAATCTGTATGTTACATAGTTTGAAAAACAGATTCAATTTTTGGCAAAAAAATTTTTTTTTTTTTTTTACATTGATTCCATCCTGCTTTCTTTGGGCCTCTGTTTGAAAAATACTGTTGTAAATTATTGCCGACTTTGAAGCAGCAAAATGTTATCTGCATTTTATATATTAGTTAAAACTGTCACCGTTACAGTAGCTCCTCTGCCTTCTTCCTATGGACATGCTGTCATCTGAACAAACACACTGCTCTGTCAGAAACAACCAATCAGAGCTATGAGGAGGGTCTTAGTGCTGTTAATCACTCTGTGCAGTGCGCATCCAAACGTCCACAGCTCCAGTCAGAAATTAAGTAAGCAAATCAATGTCTCAAAAAAGGACTTATCCTTCAGGGAGGGAGATAAAAATGAGGAAGAACATCAGGCTACAGATAAAGGTTTGTTTTAATGTGTCTTGCTAATGTAATGTAAAAAAAATTAGCAAAGCTCCAGCTTGATAGCGACCTGGAATGGTGAAACTGAGTTTAAACTTTAAATGAGTTGATTCTCAAGGTTGGATCTGTATATTTTTGGCTTCAAAACGGCATCTTTCATAAAGTCATAGAACAATAATTAAAACTGCTCAATGTTTGACATTGTCTAGCAAAATGTTTTTACATCAGGCTACAGAGCTGCTCCCTGCTGTAGTTGGGGATACGTTGTTTGCTGCTGAGCATCATCATTTTGTTACTAAAACAAACATTACTTTTACATCAACTTCTAAGTAATGTGAAACTTTTGTTAAAATCATTTGAAGGCTCAGAATCAGTCCAGTACCGGTTCACATTCTCAGGGAAGAAAGAGTGACCTGGTGTAAATGACACTTTAGCTATTGGAGTTACACTTAAGAGAAAAGTATTTAATCAAAGAATGTCAGCTGCACCGACTGCAGTTTTCTAGCCGATCCCTGGTTACCGATCTTTAAAGAGCCTGACCTGTCGATTTTGATTTTGGCTGATATTAATTCTTTTATTGTCTGAAATGTTGCTAAATGGAGCCAGAACGTCACCGAGTTGGCAACAGTGGGGTGAATATTGTTAACTGTAAACCTGGTGGGCCGGTCTGTCAGTCAAACCTCTCACTGTAGAGCACAAGGGGACAGAGACTGATTTATAAACCTTTGCTGATGAAGATAAAATTAGGGGATGAGATCAGCTTCAGATGTAAGTATCAGCCGATCACGATCCCCCCAAATTAAGGAAATCGGCACCCGGAAATCAACTGGCCAATAAATAAATAAATGTATCCTACAATATGAGTATCTAGTGTAAACAGCACTGAAAGAGATGCTATAAGTTTATAGCAGGTTTGTGAATGATCTAATGATCAGACTGCTGATTGCAGCCACTCCACATTGTTACCAGAACTAGAGGGCCCCAAAACCACATTTCATTTAGGGCCCCATGTAGGCTTGGGCCGGCCCTGATGACAGTTTTAACAAATCTGTAAAACACTGATTTTTGTCAAAGTTATGTACTGCAGCTTTAAATCAACATCTTTCTCTGACTGGCTTCCACAGCAGTCACTTCCAGGAAGTTATTTGAGCATGTCAGCGTTCAATTACTCTGAAATGAGTGCGATACTCACGTCCCGGGCAGCCTTGGGGTCAGACACACATGAGAAAGTGATGTCACACATGGAGGCCACCTCTGCAGGGGTCCGGCCTAACCTGGCCCCCTCCTGGATGAACAGGTCACACTGAAACACAGCAGAGCAGATTTAAGACCCACTGTCATGGTTTCCAAAGGCGTCTTAGAATATTTTTGTTTCATATTACTGTATAAAAAGACGACCTTTCCTCAGATAGCTCTAAGTTTATTTACACTTACACTTTAAATTATTTTTTAAGAAGATTGTAATATTTTTTCAAAGTTTCCATTAATCTCCTCAGTATTTGTAGAACTGCCTTTTATAGTGAACAACTTGGGTCAAATGTTTTGTAGTTTTTTTCCCCCCCCTCAAGATTCTCACAGTAATTTGTTTTGTTGGAATTTTGGCCGATTCCTCCTGACATGCTGATTCCATATATTCCCAACATCCCAATCAGTCCTGCAGCAAAACACCCACACACTGACACGGCTTTTTCTTTCAAAAGTACAATGATTGTTACCGGAGGTGGGCGTATCGGTCCAAAATATTGATAATATTGATACAGAGTTGTATCAGTATTGGACCAATACTGACTTGGTAAAATTGATACTTTGGTTTCAGATTCCCTCTTGAAATTTATTTTTTGTTTCTCAACTTAACCTCAGTTAAGATTTTGGATGTTCTTTTTTGTTTTGTTTTTTTTTTTGCAAAAATCTGTTTTGCTGTTTCTGTTTCTTATGCGAATAAAGCATTTTGTAGACCCATATAGAACACTTTAATGTCAGATGTTTGATGATGCATCAAACTCAAATAAAAAGTATGTGTATCAGTGATAGCAGCGCTGCACCAAACGATATCAAAATATGCAACATCAGTCAACTCTAATCATTAACGTGCAATTTTAGCATTATTAGAAAAGAGGAAGGTTTCCACATATTTTGGGTTTTCATTCCAGAATTTACCTACAAACTACAATCTGGCTTTTTATGTTTTTAGAGTTATGTCCTTTTCCTTTGAGAGTGGCCTCTCAGCCCATGTTAGTGCAGAACATAACACTGTAACCAACTGCAGCAGCAGATATTACTACCACGACATTTAGCTTCTGAATGTCGTTGAAAAGCTGATGCACAGATCTATGTATGGACTTCCTGAAAACATTAGAATGGGTTTGACCGGCTTTTGAAGCTTTCACCAACTGTTACATGACAGTACCTTTTCTGCAGTGCGATTCCACACAGTGACAACATGGCCCATTTTCAACAAGTTGGAAACGATGCCACTACCCATGAGTCCCAGACCCAGGAAGCCTATCCTGCAGAGGGATGAGCCAGAATGCATAAAGTCAACTTTATGGATTAAAAATAACATTTCAGCAGTTTCCAAATCAAAGCTTTCATTTGGCTTCTAGATTGGAAGTGCCACAGTACCTTTTATCTGTGGGTGTGATACTACCATTAATAGCTGTGCTGTCTGCTGCTTGGATAGAAGTTGAACCTGTGACCTGCAGGAAAAAAAAGCATCTGTTAACGTCACAGTGAAGATTGAGGTTTCTTTCATTTTAATTTACGCCCTCCTTTACCTCCTCGATGATTTTCAGACGCTTACTAATCGGTTCCATTGATGAGGCTGGCTGTGGAGAAAAAGACAGAGATCAGTACACAGAAAGATAACGCTGAGCTGGAACGTCGAATTCATAACTAGGTTGTCAAAATGAGTCTTTGATGAGAACAGACTGAAGCTAACAGCTGATGTTTCCTCTTACCTTTTCGGACTGACTGAGCAGGAAGTGATGGAAATGTGGGTCATCCTTGACAGGCTAGAAGGCAAAGAGTTCAGTCAGATGGTGTGTGTGTATAAGAGAGCAGAGAAAACACCAAGCAGGGAGGGAGAAAACACAGATTCAAAACGTTCAACCAGAGCAAACCAAGGTGGGGGTTTGGTTAGATCCCAGTTTCTCTCAACTTCTTCTCCAAACCATTCAGAAAAACGTCAAACAAGAGCCGCGAGGTGTGTGTAATAACACGGGCCAGGCAGGAGACATTTGGAACAACACGTGTCCCTCCAGCATCAGCACTTCCTGTTTCTGTTGCTTTGCTCTGCTCCTGCTGTGTGTGGCTGGTGATCTGTCTGTCCCCAGCCCTGCCTCATGATGTTATATCTTCCAGGTCTTTCCCACTGAACGGCTTCCAGTTCTTAACTGGTTCTATTTGGAGCAGATTTATGCCATCTATGTTTGATATATGTGTTTTTGTGTCAGTCAGTATTGATCCAATACTGATACGACTCTGTATCAATATTTGTTGAAGCTCGTTAGGAGTTTTTGGTCCTGGGCCGGCTCTGGTTGGCCGGCTCGTTTTGATCGTTTTATTTCAGTAATTGATTAGTCTGACGATTAATCAGAGAAAAACATTGGACCACAGCAGATTTTTTTGTTACTATTAAGCCTTTTTTATGCAATATTAGAAATGGATTCAAAAATGAAAACAATTCCAGAGAAAGATTCAGATAAGATATTCAAAATAAGACATGGCTAGTACACAATGAAACAGACTTTTTTTGTTACATTTTTTACTCAAGTTATAATTTGACACTTTTTATGAACTGTACTTTCACTTCACTTTGCAACTGTAGATCGGGGGAGAGGAGTTGTAGGTTAGACAAATGTCAAAAGCTAAACTGCACATTTAGATCTCTGAAGCCCTGAAGGAAGACTAAAATAAGGCTTTGTGTCGACATATTCCAGAGGAAATGCTTGTTTTTATTCAGACTGAGCAGAAAGGAGGAAGCGGGCGGATTCTGCCAGCCTGTGTTAAGCACTTACTTACTAGTCCAGGAGTTTCATCACTCACACTCTCTCACACACACACACAATAAACTGGCCTAATACTCCTTCATCCAGAGAGGTCAACCCTTCTCTTTCCTGGTTCTTTTTACTTTCACTTAATGAATAAGACTTCTCATTTCTGGGCAACCTGAAACCTGAAGCTCTTCTTCTGCAGTCGCTCACCAACCATGTCGTAATCTCTCTCTGACACACACGCACGCACGCACAACGAGCAGCATCAGCAGTCAAAGGTGAGCACCAAACAGGTCAGAAGGGAAGGTCTGCAGTCGTTGGTGATTTAAAGCCAAAGTTAGGGTGAAGCTCAGGTAGAAAAACAGCAAGCAGGGCAGGCTGACAGCAGGGGGAGCCGGGGAGAGGTTCACCTACACTGCTTTCCCATTTGAATCCTGAACCAGGTCCGGCCCCCAGCCTCTCAAGAGCCGACGGCTCGGGGTCAGAGTCTGTTAAGTCCTTAAAGAGGAAAAAGACACATGTTCACCTTTAAAACCAAAGGAGAGGAGGAATCTGTAACGGTCCGTAGCTGCTGAGGAGACGGGTGTATTTTTTTTTTTTTTTGAGAGCAATGTTCAGCAGCAGAGAGCTGCTGATGGTCAGTGTGTGGAGGGAAGGGATCCAGAACCAATGGGACGTCTGGGAACTCATCTGGATCAGAGGAGGACTCTACTCTAAACTCAGCACACACACCAGGTCTGAGGCTAGCATGGAGACCAGATGCTACAAAGTTTAAAGTTACAGGATGCAACTTTTACAAAATCTGTTTTGTTTGTTTGCATATTTTTTAAAACTGTCACCATGTTGTGCCAGGATGGTATGAGACAGATTGTGAAAAGATTGAGCTCCCTGAGCTACTATTGTCTACAAAAATATATAACTCCCGATCAAAAACAACCAATCAGCGATAAGAGGAGGGTCTTAGCACTGTCAATCAACATGTACTCACTGCTAAATGTTCCAATGGCAGAAAAATAACTCTGCATTTCAGGAAAATTATTTATTTCCACCGCCACTGATGGCAAAGGTAACTAGCGCCACATGGAGAATGATTGACAGCAGTGAGACCCGCCTCCTGGCTCTGATTGGTTGTTTCTGACAGATATTAACAGCTTTTCTGGGCCACATGAAAGCAGCATTGGTGGAAGGATGACTTCACATCAATATGTTCTCTTCATAAAACTATGAAAACATGTCAAGACTGACAGAAAATCATTTTAGAATGATTAAGTATGTTATACTGACAACATAAAAACCCTGAATTTAAGAAAACAAAACAATGGGCCATAGCTGTAAAATAAAGGCTTTTTAATACCATTTCACTTTTTCTGTAAGACTATAGCTTTTAAGCACAAAGCATTTTCTTTACTCGACACCGTTAGCTTTCTGGGGCACCACTGACCTTTTCAGAGGGGTCCTTCAGTGCACTCAGGTCCTCGTCGTCCTCCTCTAGAATTTTCAGCGGCTTGTTGGAGGCTTTTTTTCCTTTAGAGTCGCCTTTGCCCTCAGAGTTCTGCCAGAAACACACACCATCACTTTCAGCTTACAAATACGTCTGCAGGTCTGAGAAGGCTATTATAGTTTTAAATTAGAATTGCTACGGCGACATATCCTGAAAAGTTGAAGGGATGGAGATACTTTTGAAAGACTGTTGTACTTTTGAATGTCGGAACAAAACCGTTTCACCCACTGAGACAAGATGCTATGGTTTCCAGTGTCCGCCCCCCGTCCCCTACCTGTTCCTTTCCTTTGGCTTTCTTCAGGTAGTCCTCCACGGCATCAACGGCCTGCTGGAAACGCTTCCCTTTATTAATCTTGATCATCTCCTCTTTGTGGGGGTGGTAGGGCTTCAGTTGTTCCACTTTGATCCAGGCGCTGGTCAGAGACAAGAGCTGCTGTAGAACATCTGGCAGAGAATGTAAAGCATGTGGAAACCAGAGCAGGTCTCCTACTTACTGGTCTTCAGTTCCAAAGAATTTCACAAAGTGGCATTTTTTGCCCCGGGGCTTTTTCAGGTCCTTGGGGGGACTTACTATCTGAAACACACAGGAATACGTCTCAGTAAGCAGTGAATCGTGTTGCAGCACTAGTTTGAAGGTAATGTAGAGGAGTTGTCTCTCACCTTTCCTGGCCATGGAGGATAACGGCCCAGCTTGCCCCTGAAATAACAACAACAGATATTAGTGGAAATATTCTCTGTGGGGCTCAAATGTTTCAAACATTACAACAAATTTCAAGATAAGCTGCTGCAGGCCGTGGGCTCAGACTGCCCAAACGCTGGATACTTACTCCCTAAACTCAACACTTAAAGCTTAATCTCTCCTTAGCAGAGGGATTTAATAAACTCTGATAAACTGGACTCTTTTTGAGGAAACAAGGAATTTATTAGCCACATAATCAGTATTGTTATAACACAAGTGAAAAATCTATGCTTTGTTGTTGCCCTCAAGCTCCACTAGCAGCCAACTATTTTTCCTTTCGTTTTTCTAAGAGTAAAAATGCGTCAGGCCATCAAACAAACCTTAAAATGATCTGGCTAAACATAAGCTGGATGGGTTTGTAATAACTGGTAATAAGCTTAGACTACATAAATCAGTGTTGAGGGTTTTTAACATGAACAATTAGTTTAAGTTTGTGTTAGAGGTCACCGACCGCACTTTACTGGTCAACTGCAGATTATGGATCTTTAAAAACCCTGACCTGCTGGTTCTCATTTCGGAAAGTAATTGTTTTTGTCTGAAATGTTGCCAAATATAGAAAGAAAGTCACTGAGCTAAGAACAGTGGGGTGACTGTTAACTGATAACGTGCAGACATGACTTGAAGGAGATTTAAGTCCAGACTTTCACTAGGCCACCCCAAAACCTTCCCTTGATTTTCTTTAGTAAACAGACTTACTTTCTTCTTTTTTTTCCACTTGGTGAAAGTTTTATTGACTTTGTATATTTAAAATGTTTTCCAGTTTCACTGCTAGATGTTCTTTTGAAATTAAATGTTTTATTTTATTTATCTTTGAGAAGGTATATTTGCATTGACAAGTCATTATTGTTGTAGTAGTTGAAAATGGTCTCAAAATTACAATATTATTGTCTATCGCAACAATTTCTGGGACAATTTATTGTCCAGCTAAATTTGCTATGTAAATGAAACGGTGATCCTCATCGTGTGATTGTGTGAATACACAATCATATGTTTGTTTTCACGTTCCTGTGTAATACTTGAGGCAACAGTGGTGGGTGTCCAATCCATGACCGGTGGGTTGCCAGTTTGAACCCAAACTCTGTCATCCTGTCCCTGGGCAAGACATTTCACCCACCTTGCCAGCTGGTGGCGGTCAGAGAGCTGTGGCAGCCGCCACAATGTCAATGTAGTGTAAAGCGTTTTAGGATTCTATGGACTTAAACACTTTACAAGTGCAGGCCATTTACAGACAACATATCATAATATTTTTGTCATGCTTGTGAATTTTTGGGTGACAGCCATACATTTATTTTCAGCGCCCTGAAAATAAATACAAAGCAGAGGTGGATGGTTCAGGGTTTAAGGTTGTACACACAGCCAGGAGACTCAAAAGAGTTTCAAGAGCCAACTGTGAATGAATGTGTTGGTGAAAGCTGATCCACGGTCTGGGCGGGTCTGGTTTTTCTGTCCCACTGGAAACTGGCCGTCCAGCAAATGTGTTTGCAGAAGTCTGGTCAAAGTCTGACTCCGCTTCACGGGTCCGACTTGTCCAAATACCTGCACAGCTGCGGAACTTTATGCTGAAATCGAGAGTCCGCCTAATAATCGGAGCTGAAACGAAGGCGCTCGGCGGGCTGAAGGGAGTAAACAGCAGTCAGTGTTGTCACATCTTCGGTGGCACGTGACGCGCTCCGGCTGCTTGTTCAATGTTTTAGTCCAAACGAGAGGAAAGTGTCTGCGGCGCTTCACGCCGTTTTCTGCTTCAGTGTCTGAAAGTCATTTCACACAAAGAGGCGCGTGTGGATGAAACAAGAGCTCGTGCCAAGTTAACAACACGGAAACAGAGCAGGCGCAACGTCCGCTACTAGCTATGATGCTAGCCCGACTAGCACAACATGTCAACAAGAAGACATCCACAAGGCGAAGCTTCACAGACACATCCAGCAGTTCGCGATTCTGGAGGACAAAACGACACGCTGTGACCGAATGAAGTAACTCTGCGAGCTTTAAACCCTGCTCCAGCAGCTGCCTCGCTCACAGGGAGCTAGCGCAGCTAGCTCTGCTTGGTTAGCAACTTGTTTGGGTTGAACACCAACTAAGCTTCTCCGCCGCGGCGATTCCTCTTAACACAACCAAAACCTGACCTTCTTTCAAACGGGCAGCTACAACAGCGCACTATGCAGTTTGAGCAGGACAGGGGGCGCGTAATTGTGCTGAAAGGTCATCTCACCACACTAGATCCCCGATCCTGAGGTGCACCGCCGCCATCTTTCAACTTAAATAAAACGTCGCACTGAATGAGGGGAAAGGACGATACACACCCACTAAAGCCGTCCTCCGCGTGTGGGCGTGGATCACCCGCCTCCTGGTCTGACTGCCTCCAGCAAACCGCGTTCACGATCATATTCAATAAGAACGGCAGAAACACACGGTTTGAAACTAATAAACTGTATTATAGACTGAGACCCGAACAAAAGACACTGTCTAAAATCACAGCTTTGGTCCAGGTGTTCCGAGTTCCATCATACTTCATGCTTGAAGTGATTATTTCAGTTAACTATTATTAGTATTATTGGTACATTTTACCAAGAGGAAGTAATATACGATGGTTTAAACAGATTGCAAACAAAGAGCCTAAAAGTAATTTTTTTTAAAAGTAATGATCGGTTCCTCTCACCCTGAAACATGCAGAACAGTTGTGACCCTCATTTTCATTTTGGACTCCATCAAGATCACAAATGTCCTGAAAGGGCCCTTGTTCTGGTAGGATGATAAAACAGCCCATTAACAGGCTTTCACAATGTGGATAAATGGCTGTCTCTGCATTTTATGAGGTCTTTAAATTAAATACTATTGAACGTGTTTTCACTGTTATGTAATTTGGCATTATAGAGTAAAAACTGCTTTGATTAGATTGATGAAATAATATCTGATCACATAACTGTTATCTTGAAGGTTCTATTTATGTGGCCCTCTAGAGTCTGACACGTATGATACAGAACTTCTTACTTTAATTTCAGAAAAATTATTCAAGAAATAATGTTATTTTTTAAACCAAAATGACTTGTGATTGACTATGACTATTACTGAATATTGCAATGACAATATTAATAATAATCGGCTCACAAATTTTTCTGACTCTTTTGTATTCAGCATGGCACTTGAAATATGTCCTACAATAATATCAAGTTGTAAAATATCAAATGTCAGCTACTTGTCCAACCCAGAGGCCTGTGGCTGAAAGAAATGAGCCTTTGTGTTTTGCCTTAAATTGAGAAATTGAGGGGAAAAAACAAACAAATTGACAGATGAAAACATTTTTATCAGTACTTCTAATAGAAAGTACTATCAGAAGTATACTTTCTATCTCAAGTTGTCAGTTTGAGATTTTTTGACAACTTTACAAGTAAAAAGTGATATTCTTTCTCAGCCAGGTTCAAACGTTCACATTGACATTTGAATCAATTTTACAGGGTAAAGCCTGAGTTAGGTTTTTATCTGGACTACTACTGACTTGAATTGCTTGCTGGAAATGTCCTTTGACTGATCTCCCTTCCCAGAAGAAAGGCTGGATCACACTGTGGTCCTTGCTTGTAGACGGAAGCATCCTCATCACGACAAAGTAGTGTCTTATCAGAAAACCAACCATGGACTGACAGAAGTGTAAATGCATATTTCTTGTGTCATCTACTGACATGCAGGCTGCGCCCACATCATCAGTAACTGCGGAAATGTTCCTGCTGTCTTCATCTACTCATCCATGTTTCATCCACAACTGCTTGTCTTTAGCGCCATCAAGTCTCGTTTTGTTCTGAGGTGACTTGGTTCTAGTTGTTCACAAACACTGACTGTTATTCTCCTTGGTTGAATGTTCAGTGATGAGGCTTTAACGTATGTTGTTTTTTTTAAGGTTTTGTTGACCATAGTTGCCTTTATTTGAAAGTAGGCCAACAGAAAAGAAGGTAATGAGAGAGGGGGAAGACATGCAACAATCGAACCTGAAATGCACCAAGAGGTGAGACTAAGACAGCAAAAGTGCAAAGAACAAAAACTTTTAATATCACTTGCAAGTGGAGAACAACACAGATAAAATCATAGCAAACTCTAGGTATGTTCTGAGGAGGCTCTGAAACAATCACAGAATCATATACAGTTCCTTGGCACACAGGAAGTGGGAGTTGTTTCAAATACCCAATACCAAATTAGGACACATAACAAACAGGGGTACTCTGAACCAAATAGACAGCCAGAGGGGGAGGCGTCCTTTACCTAGCCACTCAGATAAGTTGAGCATCTCATCCTGTTCCCATAGTGGGGATGCGCTATTTGTTATCTCTTCCCTTCCAGGCCGCTGGCCTTGGTCCTCCCTTTTACCGACACAAAGGAGATCTGTTCTCTAAGACTATGAGTTACTAGGTGCAGCTGGATAGTATAGAGAAGTAGAAAAACAGCTTACACAACTCAGAATATTTTATATATGTCTAGATGTAATCTTAAATATTGTAGATAATTAATTTTTGTTCCACAAGAATTCCGCCACGAGGTTATTTGTTGTGGTTGGTGCCGTATACATGAACAAACTAATTTAGCTGAATGAGCCATAGTTTTAATTCATTTTTGCTTAAAGACACTAAAATAAAGAGCCAAACAGTCAGATTAAAATATATTTATTTATAGCTCAATGAAGAGGTGGATGAATAAACAGCATGTAACCAGAGGGAATCCCTATGAAGTGAGGAGACATTTTAAACCCAGTACAATGATCAAATGAAAGCAACGATCAATCCCTCCACCTACTCAGAGAAATTAAAGTTTATCTTAAGCCGTCTTCCCCAAAACCTCCAGTGGCTGTAAGGGTACTTGATAACCAACCATGTATTCAAGTGCAATTTACACAATCAAACAAATACATAGTTTGGAAATTTAAGGCATAAACAAGGCCTAGTTGCTGCAGTATTAAATGAAATGGCATTTAATACAAGAGTGACGTGATAGAGAAAAACATGGAGACTGTTAAACAGATGAGTACAGAAGGTGATCAGTGTAGTATGTGAATGGTGAAGTTCACTTTTGCTTGCTTGACACCATTACACCAAACTCCTGGATGGATATTTCTTTGTTTAGGTACTGCTGATGCTGACGTTTTGTGATGTGCCCAAGACTTAGTGCGTCATCAATGGAGAACTTCTTCCCTGATTTTCTGTCGTGAAGCACAGAAGACTCTCCAGATGGGCCTTTAACTGTGATCTCTTCCCAATCACACTCCTGGCTCTGCAGGTTAACAAACATCTTCCAGTCGATCAACCCGAGTCGGTACGCCTCTTCAGGTCGCATCTCTTTTCCCGAATCAGGATCAATGACAACAATGGATCTGCGGAGGTGACTTTCCCTTTGCTCTTTCTTCATCCTCACTGCTGCCAGGTTCTTTTTAAGCTTTTCAATCTCCTCATCTTTTTGGGCTGTTATGCTTCTTAGATCTGCGAGCTCCTTCTGAAGTGAGTCAAGCCTCAGCTCCAAGTTCCTGCCATCCTCCCTGGGTGCAGACTCAGTGATAAGCCGAGTCTCTTTATAGGTGATGTCAATCTCGGAACGAAGTTTGCGGATCTCGTTCTGCAGCCTTTGGTTTTCCTGTTGGAGGCGATTACTTTCGTCACGGATGTAGTCCAGCTCTTTAGTGGACTTTGTGTTGGCAAATTCCATGTCGGACAACTTGGAGGTGAGGACAGACAACTCCTGGTCAAGATCACGCCTTCTCCTCTTCTCATCTTCCAGCGTTCTCCTTAGGTTTTCAATTTCAAGCTCAGCCTCTGGGTCCCTCTCCACTTGGACTTTCTCTGTGCGAACAACTCTTTCCTTCACATCCATCTTCTCCAGGGTGAGTTGCTGCTGAATGAGAGCGTTCAACTCTTTCTCAAGGAGGGTGCGTTTGTGTCGCTCTTCGTCAAGCTGCAGTTTGAGGATAGAATGTTCTTTCTCCTGTTGGGGATCCTGCTGAAGTACAACCTTCTGTTTGACAGTCACCTTTTCACGGTTTTCTTTGTCCCTGATCTCCAACTCGTTAAGTCTGACGCGAAGTCTCTGGATCTCCAACTCTGCTTCACGCCTTGCCTTGCGCTCTTGCTCTAGTTCCCTCAGTTGCTGGTCCAGATCAGCAATCTGTCTCTGCAGTTGAAGGAGCTCTGATTGAAGTTTCTCTTTTTGCTTTTGCTCACTGTTGATACTGTGTAGAAAACTGTCACACTCTGACTTGAGGACAGGGTCTTCTTCCATTTTAATCACTTCTTGCTGAACAATCTTCTCTCGCACTTGAGACAGATCCATCTTCTTTAGCCTAATCTTCTCTTCTTGGGCTAACCGTTCTCCTTCAAGATCAAGACGTTTCTTCTGTTCATCAGCCAGCTTCCTTTTCAGAGTCTCAATCTCTTCTTTAGTCTTGGGATCTTCTCTGTACTGCACCACTTCATTGACCACCTCTTTCGTCTGTATTTGTGGTTTGGTTGCCTTCCATCTTTCGATCTCATCCTGGAGTTGACGGATTTCCATCTCAGATTTTTCTGTCAGGTGAGTTTTATCAACGATTTCATTGCGTAGTCTCTCCAGCTCTCTTTCCGTCTCTGGATCGGTCTTATATTTGATCACTTCTTTGATGATTTCTTTGACTTCAATTTGAGGTCCTCTGTTCCTTAGCATAGCCAGCTCATCCTGCAGAGATTTCAGCTGGAGTTCAGCGTCTCTGAAGCGCCGCTGTTGCTCCACAACTTCGAGACGGAGGTTGGCCACCTCATTCTCAGCCTTGGGGTCAGGGCGGACAATTTCGCGCATCTTCTCCTGAACCACAATCTTAGACTTCTCCTCTTCCAGGCTCTGAATTTTCCTCTGGAGATCTGTCTTCTCCCGCTGTGATGATCTTCGCTTGGCCTTCTCATCCTCATACTGCCTTCTAAGGTTTTCTACCTCTCTTTCAAAGACAACATCCTTCTCCACTTTCAGCACCTCCTTGATGGAAATCTTCTCCTCAGCAATTGCTTTCTCCTTCTCCAACCTTCTGAGCTTCTCCTGAAGGAACTTCAACTCATCCTCTAACTGCTTTCTGTTATCCATTTCTTTCTGTTTCCTGTCAAGGAGAAGACGGTACTCTGACTCAAGTTGTGGGTCGTTTTGGACCTTGATCACTTCCTCCTCAGTGATCACTTCCTGTTCCTTGTTTTTCTCCTGAGCCAGTAGGGTAACCCGCTTTTGGATCTGAACCAGCTCATTGTCTTTCAACATCTTTTGTCTTCTTAGTTCTTCTAGCTCTTCCCGAAGTTTGC